TTCAGAATTTCTCAAGAATTCCATGATGTCTGATTGAAACTCTGCACACATTGAGTCTGGAATTGAGATTCATGATATAGTCCATAAGGCTCATTCACGAAAGACTAAACATAACCAATTTGATCAATCGCCCCCAAAACATTTGGTGAAGTGCCTATCTGAATTTTGACCTCCCCGAGAAATCTGAGATCGGTCCAAGTCAGCTTCCATCTCAGCTCTCTGGGGATGCTCCGAGAATATCGTTGTGGAGCTTTGAAGCTGATTCTAGACAGTACAGTTACTCATGGTTCAGGGTGAAAAAAGAGAACATGCCCTCACCAGATGTTTTTGGTACCTTGAAGAGCACATAACCTTTGGATTTTCACCTTTCAACTCAACTTTGTTTTTTTGTGAATGAGCCTTTGTCTCTTTCCTCATGAAAATATTTAAATTCCAAATAAGGGTTCTCTGGGTTCCAATTTTTATGCATTTGAACTGCCTTCGATTGGAGTGCAAGTTCCATTGTTGTTGCTTCATTGTTATGTTTGTCTTGACGTTTCGTTGCCAGACATAAATAAAGTACACGAAACAGTCTTCAGAGAATGTCTGGCCAAGATACGAATTGATTTTGCCTAATTACAGGACAAGATCTGTGCTTCAACTGTAATTTTTTTTTCAATACTGGTGTATTGATTTTTGAATGTGATACCCTGATCTCCGGAATAAAATCCTAGTGGGCAAGAAACGCTTTCATCCTGCAATTGCAAGGTTAGAACCAAAAGTTCATGGAGGTGCCCATCGTCTCCTTTGTAATATGCATATTTCCACTTGTAAATTGAATATGAGTGCACTCTTGCACCCCTGGCTGAGGGATCCAGACGAGAGGACACCCATTCAGCTCACCCAGTAGTCTTTTTTTTAAATTATATTTGCTAACTGAAATGCAGCCAATGAGAGTTGATGAATTTCACTTCCCGAATCCATACGACCAATCCAAACTTGGCTTCTAATAACTTCGTCCACAAATTTAACAGCGATGGCGCTTGTGTGCTTGTACTAGCCTTCTCCTTAGGCCAGTGGCTCTTAACTCCTGGGTCGCCAAGGGTCTCCAGCATAGGCGGCGATTCATAGGGGCTCAGGGGGCTCGAGTCACCCCAAAAATTTTGCAGAAGAATAAGGAATACTTGGAGTACTGCCTCTGAGCCCCCCAAATTTCTCAACAAGTCGCCGCCTATGGTCTCCAGTGACTGTCCGACCTTTCACATATCATTTATCACAAGTGAACTGTTTGAGGGCATGGGTCGCCGAGCTAGCCCCGCGACCGGAATTCGGGTCGCAGCCAAAAAAGCGTAAGAACCACTGCCTTAGGCAAACATTCACCAGCGTCATCTCTCTATGAAATTTTTGAATGAAATATGCCAAACAGTTGCAACGTGAATGTTTTAACCAGCTAACAACACTGTTCTGATGGCTGCTTGCCTCATTGCTCACGGCCGATTGCACGTGGTCGCAGGTCTCGAGGCCAAGGTACATCAATGTGCTTTCGATTTCGAATTCCAAATAACCCTCCCCCACATTTAATCCCACCCCTTTGCCCACCCAATCTCATCTAAGACCCGAGTCACCGCTAACCTTGGGAGACCCTGTTTGACCGTAATGGTTACTTCGGGGATAAACCACCCAGATTCTTATAAAATCCCGCATCCTGACACAGGTGCCTGACAGGTGACAGCCTGGTGCCCAAAGGAGTATTCTCAAACACGCCGGGGTTTCCACTCGGTAAAGAACGCCTAATTTGGTTTGTGGTTGGTTTCGGACCCTTGTCACCTGCTACGGGATCCAGCTCGCTATCAGACAAGCCACTCACCTGCCCAGCGTAGGCCTACCCGAATGTCCCAGAGTTCGTAGCTTAGTGTTCTTGTCTAGTACAATACAAAACTAAAGAACAAAACTAATGTTAAAGTTTAGCATATTTTGCCAATGCTTAGCTTCCTCATTAAACTTTGAGCTGTTGAATAGCATTTAACATTCTACAATCAAAACTGGAATAGTAAATTAGATTAGGGATGTCAGGCAACATTTCTCCCTATTATGTCACCTTATGTCAAAGATGAGCTTTCATCTAGTAAAAGTAATAATATGCTGGGCCTTAAAGATATATGTTTTTTTGTGGGAGCACTACTGCCTGCTTGCCCTCAACTACCTAGTTGCATAATAAATCTTTGCTCCTGTTATTATTTTTTATTTTCCTTCCATGAAAGTATCCAACCTCTTCTTCTAGCTAGTCATGGAAGCTACATGCCTGACACATTCACCACCCTATAAGAGAAGAAGTTATTCTATAACCTGAGTCTTGCATGGGGCTTTTGCAATTTGAACTGATTTCCCTTTGTTTGGTTGTTACCATCAAGTTTGAAAAACCTATTGCACTCCATTTTATGGAACTCCTTCATGATTTTGAATGCCTGAATGAAGTCTCCCCTCTTTAAATTTTGCTTAAATGAATAGAGCCAAATTTAATAATTGCTGAGTGTAAGCTGTAGGGTGGGAGGAAAGAACAGAAGTCTGCATTTTCATGTCCTGAGTTTTTAATATTGACTCTAATTTTGATTGACACACTGAAGTGAGCTGGTTTTCCTTTCCACAGGGCATCAAAACAACCTTCCTTGCAGAGGTCAATGCAGTCTTTTAGAATCAGAACTGTGCCATTCCATGTGAATAAATAGACAAATTTTTCCTTCACTCAATTCCTTTCTCTCTATATGTATCTCCTGTCTCATTCATTGAAACACAGATATGGTTTTCACTTTTGCAGGTCATCACTTCAATATTTAATTACCTTTATTTCTGCATAGTTTTAAAGTCATTCTGTGAAGATATATTTTGTCTGCCTTTCAACAGCTCTGAGTGCATATTTCTTGGCATGCTTTGACAGAAGTTTCTTGCATTAGCTGCATTGTTCTGTCATTCATTGTCCACTTCATCATCTTATTCTTTTTCATATATTGAAGCAATATGTTATTCTGAAGGGAACTTCTTGGCACCCTCAGTGGTCCAGTGGTCCATTCTTGCAAGCCCCAAGGCAGTGTCTTCAGCCCAATCTTCCTGTTATCTGTCATTGACATCATTACTTTGCTGAGGAAAAAAGGTCACCACTTTGGAGATGGCTCCACTCCATTCCACTGCCCATGCATTCCACCTTCTGCATGTCCAATAAGAGAAAGTGATTGTCTCACTTCTGCAGGACCCAGAATCCATATATGAAAGCACTTCTGTATGGATTTTATATTTCAATGCAAGAACAAATTTTTCATGCTTTCCCTTCTTGCATTATCCATCTCATTTCTTTCATCACATTTTTCCCAACCATGTCAGTATTGTTAGTATCAAAATAATATGTAAAAATATCAATGACTTCACTCATATGCTTAAATTGAAGTCCCTTGAGATTTCACATTGTGCTGAATTTCTTTTTCAAGGTGAAACTGCTGTATGACACAGTGATGCTTATGGTGACTTTAGTGCGTAATGGATAGGACATTGAAAGTGAACTTCACAAGTGGTGCCAATCAGGGCAACAGTTTGAATATAAGCTTAGAAGTGGACACAGGGAAGAAGGGTGAGCTTTCTCAGAAACTTCGAGAAGTCCAGCAGAAGTGTAATGATCATCTCACCTCAGTGATTCTGAAGGCTGCCTCTGGGAATGGTGAGTTAATTATCATCATATCTGTTTGCCATTGTGTCCCTAATGCATTGAAGTGAGGAAGGGGACAAAACAATGAATGCACATTTCAAAAAGGAAACAGGTACAAAGAAAGAAAGGAACATCCCTCCCTGCCCTACTGGAGAGCTACAATAAAAGAGAATAAATGGTAACTTTTAAGAGATGACAATTCTGGGCCAACTCTAAACAAAGTCACTGTATGAAAATCTGTGTTTGACCCAAGATATGTTTGTTGTGAGTGATTGCAAGAGATATACATTGAAGTTCCTCTTTTTCCAAATTTTCAAGTAGCAAGTAACTTTGCCATTATTATAATTAATAATATGAATAACCCTTTCAGTGATATATGATTCCTGAAATTATAACAATGAATAATTTTTTTTGAGACAGCATATGCAAATGGAATTTTTGTTTTGAAACTGTTGCCTTTAGTAAGCTTTCATCGTTGTTAATTTCTTCTCAGTTTTAAATATTCATCTGATGGATGTCTCTGCTTTTTTCAAGTGAGGACATACACCCAGTCTGGTTCTGGTTTTGTGTATTGGCTATGTTACTGCTCATTAGAACCAAGTCCAACTTAGTCTATCAACACTTCATCACCTCAGTTCAATAAGGTTCTATCTGACATTTTTGAAAAATGAGATAATGACATACAAGTAACCTGCATGGAGAGTAGATTCAAGAGATACATTAATTTTGTGTGAATTCCCTTAAGAAAGGCTAGAATTAACATTTCTTCAAGGTTCTATCTGCCCAGGTCTCAAACATTCAGTTCAACAAGGTTCTATCTACATCCTGGACAATAGGTGAAGACAAAACTCTGGAGACTTTGATTGGTTTATTATCCAGGGTAGGTGGTCCCCATGTTGCCATCAGCCAATCAGATACCTTGTTACAGCTAGCACCATCCGATGAGATTTTACCTAAGATCTAACTGATTTTCAAGGAAGTTGGTGGCATAGGTAGAGGCTGTATTTCAAGTGTGTATTTCAATTCAAGGGTGAAAGGTAAAGTGGTTTTATCTGAAAAAAATTCCAAAAAAGTATATTTGGTTTAGTGCTCATAGAACCTCGTTCCTTTCATAGAAAATGACATTTTTCTGTAATTATGTAAAAGATGAACTGATCTAACAATGCATACAATTTTCCTCACTTTAACATGACATTAACATCACAGCAGAATCTATGAGCTCTGTTCTTCTGTCTCTTTTCCCCATGTTCTCATTAGCCATGATAGCTCATTGCCATATGAGATCAGATCCTCTTCAGTCTGTTTCCAGTTGGCAAGAAGGCTATATTTCTCTTTTCCCATGGAGCAAGTGTAATCTCAGAAAGGGTCTTTTTTCAACTCTCATTTGTGTTACTATATTTAGCTGTTAGCAAAAACTTTTTATTCTTTCCTTTTCAAACTATTCTATTAACACCCATAGTTTCCCAAGTTCATAAAATGTTGTAGTAGAGCCAGTCTACCCTTGGTCAATTTACTGCATGGAATAACTGCATATTTCTGTTTCAATATACTTTCCATGCTCTACACTTGTTTGATATAGCAAATGGAGGGAAAGACAGCAGTGCTCTAGAAGATGGTGATGAAGATGACAGTGATGATGATAAAGTGAATGACAGTGAATGTGACAATGGAGTTCCACAGGCAAAGAATCTGAAGCTTTCCTAATTCAGGTGTTTGTAAAATGGATGTACCTCCTCCAGAAGATCAATGGACTCTGCCAGAAGGCTTAGATCAGGACAATGAGAAGTGGACCTCTCTGATTGAACTGATTAAAACTTCTCATGAGATCCCAGATCACGGCATAGCTCAAGTGATCAAATCATGTGAAAGTGGAGTGAAGAAATGGGATAAATATGCTACACATGTAATATTTGAACTTTTGGCACGGGAGGAAAATCGACATGGACTCAGAAGAGCCCTGGAAACAGATGAAGATCTCAACACCCTTCTCCATTGTGATGAGGGTGCCCTAGCTTTGAAATTGGCAAGGTTATCACTTGCTAGGAAGATGCCTCCACTTGCCATTCTTCAAGTGAGTTTCATATTTGTCTTTCCCCCTCGGGGCTCCTTCATTAACCTCATGCTAACTCAGTGGCATTCAAACTGCAGCCTGCAAAGGCAATGTGTATTTTCCTGGAAAGTGGAATATTTTAACAGTATACATAAGCCATATTGTTTCAGTGTGGCCCACATTTACTTCATTCCTTCTGAATGCATCCCCCAGCTTGAAAGGTCTGAGAACTACTCTGCTAATTTTTTATGATATTGGTAATTGATGTGATTTCAGTCTGAATGGGAGAAATGGCTCGAATTGGGCCACTGGGACTCCCTGAAGCTCTTCTTCTCAAGGCAGCCATGGTCTCAATTGAGACCTGGCTTTATCATCTGGTATTTCCTCTCCTGTTCATCTCCTGAAACCATGGATTTACTCCTTCAGACCCTCTGGCATCCATATGATGTAGGCACTCCATCTATCCTTCAATAAATTATTTTCCCTGAGGTGGTATTATACTCCTCATGTTGGTGTACATTTTACGCATAATATCTGATTGCTTCATGGAATTTCTTTTTAATAACACACTTCTGACCAAAAAAAATGTTTGTGCCTGCAAAATTTTGCATTTCAGCTGATACTTTGTCCCTATATGCATTCTTGGCAGTTAAGTCTCTCTAGTTTGATAGTAAAATGATCCAAATAACTTAATGATCTAATTCACTGCAATCTCATCATCATGACAAAAACATGGACACCACAACCTAAAAACTGATGGAGCCCCTTTTAGCCTTCACAAGCCTCAACCTCATCAATTGGCATATCATTCCAACCATCATTAATTTCTTCAAACTGCTCTTCATAGCTTCTACTTTGTTTCTTGATCACTCTTTTGCAAATAACATTACCAACGTACTCAATTGGATTCATATCTTCACCCTGCCCCACTCAGGGACAAAGAAATGTTGTAGGTACTGCAAAGAGCAGATTGAAGCTATTAGCAAAACTTGGTAAGAAACTCTATATGACTTCATTAGTTGTGAGTATGTCAAGACTTGTGGAGAATAAAAGAGCTCCCACCTATTGCCTGCATTGTTGATCATGTTGTTGATAGCATGAAAAGATTGCAGTAATATAATAAAACTGAGTTGTCTGCATTATCTTACTGTGAATTAGTTAGATTTAACTGCCAGTCATACATCATGAAATGAATTAATCTTGAGCATGTGAAATTCTGCCTGTATAAATTTTATTGATTTACCATTAGTGTATTTGTCCTTGATGCTGTGTAATAAAAAAAAAGAAGAAATTCATTAATTGACCATGATGACAAATGGAGATTAGTTACTACTCAGGAAACTAGGCTTATGTCTAAACCTATTACCTTTGAGAGTAGGAGTTCATCTGGGCTTCTGAATATTCTGATCTGCTTTATGCTATGTATTTCTTTGCAAGTGTTGGTATGTATTTTCAGAATGAAGATGTAGAGAAGGAAGCAAAGTCCATTTGTGATGCCCTGGCCAGTCAAATAAAGTGCCTTCATTGGATTCAGAGTCATTTGGAGACAAGTGACAGGTCCCATTTCCCTTCCATAACTCCCATGGAGATTCTGTCTCTAGTCCTTTCTTCTCGCCCTCTTCGAGCCTTGCATCAGATATTCAAACTGGAGAATCTGTCCTTGCATGATGGATTGGAATATCTAAAGCTGAGTAGAGGTGTGTCTTCATCTTTCTCTTTCATTTTTTTCATTTTTTTTTGGGCAGTTTTTTGGTCCTTCTCATTAACATGGTTTCTGAAACGATTTTTCATTGTCCAGAATCTGGAGATGGTGATAATAAAAATATCCTATTGGGCTTCTGGTCTGTTAGATTGTCTCTTCAAGCTCTCAAGGCTTCAAGTGGTGAGTTTAAAACTGTTAAATCGTTAAGAAATAGCCACTGTTACTTATTGAAACATCTATCTTTTGTGGTAGCTCTTCTTGGAGATGAGGGGAGGTATCAGGAAGAGGTTACAGATAGGTTGCTTCTTGCAAAGTCTTACACTCTGCAGATCAGCCAACTAGCTTTCAGGTGTGATGTTTTCAGCACTCTATTCAATAAAAACCTACAAGAATATGTTATTCATTCCAGGAGAGCATTATATTGAAGTGCTCCCTCTGTATGGACAGGGTTGATGTGGCCAGGTTACTGTTCTCTCTGCTGCTTATGGAAAAAGTGGAGACAGAGAAGGGTTTGCATGGCAGAGGACATTATTTGTCAAATGCCTCCTTTACCAGAGATTTACTCCATGTCCTCAAGGATATCCTGGTTGTAACAAGCTCTGCTCTCTTCAGTGAGACAAAGTCTAAGGATGAGGAGGATGGAAAGAGTCCCCTAGATTCACAGCATCTAACTTCCAAGTAGGTCTTCATCTCATATTATGTCTTTTGATAATGGGAGTAGTACATTGGAGAATTGCATGATTATCTTGAAAATTCAGTCAAAAGGTCATTTTTATTCATTTCATCAAGGATCATTCTTGTAAATGGGAATATTATTGGAGTTTTATTCAAGAACCTGTGTGTGAAAGTTGCCTGCCACCTTGTTAATTAAATGAGAAAGGGAGCTGTTTACAAAGGAATTATGATTTAAGGAATCCCTGAGAGTAGCAATTTGCAGTTCAGGATTGGGACAAGAGCAAAACAAAAGTGGAAATGGACATTATTATGGCCAGTCTTGATCTCAGCTGTTGTATGTATTGTTTTTAGGGGGATGGGCCCATAATATAACTCTCCAAAAAAAGCAGTGGTCTCTGAAGTTCTTGACTGGATCATGAATCAGTGTAGCCTGAACCTCCCCTTTTTTTTCTTGCATTGAACTTCATCCTGCTCTCACAGTTGATTCCACATTGTTGGAAAGCTCTTTTCATCTCAGATTCAGTATGCAATGCAGTCTATTGTAGAAATTTTAAGAAGGCAGTATGGTTAGACAGTTGTGTCTGTCCTGCCCTCTGCTTTTCAACAGATCCATTTTTTTTTAAAGGTTTACTTCATGGTCTGCTAATAAGATAGGTGGATAATTTCAATTTTTTTTCTGGTTTCTTGTACTGATGCTTGGAATTTCCATAGGCTTCTACAATGGGTGAATGAAGCTCAGTGGAGGTTGAGCCTTGTGACTGAAGAGGATTTCCCTAAGGAGATGGGGATTGTGGACATGTATCCGCTTGATCATGTTGCTGTATTAGAACATCTGTTTGCCAAACCTGAAGACCTGCTCTTCTTTTGCCTGCATATACAGAGAGACAGGATAAAAGCCTCTCAAGTGGTCAAAGTGAGTTTTGCATGGTTGTTATAGGCTATTTCAAATTATACTTTTTTAAATAATATCATTCCTGGAATGATTTCAGGATGCTATGGTGCCTCTTTGAGTGAAGATATGTTATCAGCATGTCTCTGTGTTCTTAAGTTTGATGAATGCATTTGTTAGAGTCTCCCATGCTTTGCATTCATCTTGGAGAGGCTCATAATAGATATTATGGCCAGTCACTTGGTCCACACATGTCCCTGGAGGTTCTTGATACATGCACTCTTGTACATAGGCCAAATAGTCTTCAGGAAATAGCCAAAGAACTGATTCAGGCATGAGCTTCTTCATCCAGCCGCAGCCTCTGAAATAGAACAAAGTGATGTCATCTTAAATTAAAGTAATTGTTGTATATTCATATCATAATGGCTTTTAAAAAATGTGTGTAGCTATTTCAATGGTAGTGATGGCAGCTGAGATGCAGCAGAGAAAATTTGAGCTGACAACTGCCCAGATCAGCTGAGGATTGAGACATTATTGACAATATAGTCCTCATTTACCTTTCAATTGTGAAAGGTGAGGAAAAAGCAGTTACTTCTCATTGACTTCTCTCATTCATGGGCATATCTCATAATAGCCTTCCTGCAAATATGTCAGATAGTGAATAGTGATACGACTCATTTTCATTCACTGTCCAGTTATTGCATAATTGGGAATTCCCAGTAGAAAGACAAACAAGGCATTAATGTTTGTATCCTTGATAAGATTTCACTCTGAACATGATCCAGCCATTTGCTGGTTTCTTTTATTTCATGAAAGAAGCTGCTTATATGGTGAAAATTATTCTGTCAATGTAGATATAGAGTCATTGGGAAACACTGCAGAACTGTCATAGATAACTGCTAATGCTGAAGTGAAGCTTATCCCTCTATTCCAGACTTGGGCAAGGAAATTCCAATAAACTGATAATAAATAACTTCAAATTTCTACAAATGCAGTTTCCACATATCTGTATAGAATTATATATTATCATGATTGATGTAAATATTCAATAATATCTTGGCACAACGAATCCTCTGTCTAATTGGATTTGAATGTAACTTCCTATTGCAGTGCTGATTATACATTGACAAAATGAATTGCACTTCATAAAGTTTTAGCTCATCTGATTTCTCAGCATAGTTGAGAAATCAGATGAGCAGAAGCTTTAAATGAATAGAATTCAAATTCCTAACCTTCCAGTAGTACACCAGATGAAGCACCAGAGCAACGTTATCAAGGCTGCAAGAGAGGTGAAAATAATCATCAACTGTTGAACCTTCGAGAGGTCCTTGAATTGCTTCCATGGACTGCATTGCTCTCCCTCCTCAAGATTTTTCCAGCCAGGTCTCATCTCACGTGCGAGACCCCCACTGATTTCGTCTGCCTTTGCCAAATAGTCATAGTACTCCCTCATGAGAGTTTGATAGTCTTCTGTCTCGTTCTGATTGGTTTGACAAGATTTTTCCAGCCAGGTCTCATCTCACGTGCGAGACCCCCACTGATTTCGTCTGCCTTTGCCAAATAGTCATAGTACTCCCTCATGAGAGTTTGATAGTCTTCTGTCTCGTTCTGATTGGTTTGCTGATCTTCTAAAGGAATGGATAGGATGTGATGAATCATCATGGGCAGCAACCTGAGGATGAACATTGCCTTTTCTGGTGTCATACACAGGCTCTTATCAGGCTTCCATTGTTGACAGCTGAATGGGAAGAACTTGGAAGAGAAAAGAGTTGATATAATCTGGAGATTATTCCAGGCTTATCCTTCAGCATGATGGATACCTGATTTTTTTTCAACAAAAAGTATAAAATTCATTTTTTCTGCAAAGATCATGAAGTTCAATCCAAAGTTTCCTAGCTGTTGGTTTCACAGATGACAAAAAAACAAAAATCCTAACTTCCTTTTCACCTAAACCCCAACCATCTATAATTGCAGTTTGTTGTCATAGAGACATAAATTATTCTAATGCTGGTCCCTCAGAAGACTGCCTTCTTGACTAAATTACATTGTTTTGACATGTTTTTGTAGCTTTGTGATCTTGGAGAAACTTGGCTGGGTCATGAAACCTCTTTTGATGAATTCTGGGAAGAAGCCAAACAGAAGGTGCTTCTCAAGGTGAGTTCAATTTTAGGAAAATAATGTATTGACAGTGCTTCTTCATTTATCCTTCCTGTATTGGAAGGGATATTTTGTGCTAGAAGTGTGTTGTAGTGAAAGTGTGCATGAGATGCATTGTGCACCCTTCAGTTTCTTATTCCAGTTATATACAGTCAATTTCCTTATTCTCCAGAATTTGAATGTTGAAGAGTTCCTGAATGCATTCCAGAAGGAAACTCCCCCTATCCAGCCTGAAGTAGAGGAACTTTTACCAGGTACAGTGACATTTGACAGCAGTGATTTTCAATGCTTTGAGATTTAAGAAATGAAGGAGGAGATACTGAGATAGTTTGATAGAGCATAAGGGATCCTTCTACCAGGTCTGAAAGTCTCAAGCGAACTGAAAACAAGCTTGGCCCTGTTTGACTTGACTTTGGCCTTGCCACCTTCACATGGATCTGCCTCAATCCTCCTACACCAAATAGAAGAGATGCTTTCACGCTGTGATATCCCTGTCCTCCTGTCTCCTTGGAGGCAGTTCTTCACTCAGTATTTCACCCTCATCCATGAATTGAGAAGGTTGCCAGATGCTCACATACTTGGTCATCCTTTGCTTCTCCCACTCTCCCTTGATCCTCAAAAGCATGTCACTCTGACCAAAGCAACAATGAGCCTGTCAGTTGCACTACGGAACTTCAATGCTTCGGCCCAGTC